CTGTGTGCTAGGGGCCAGTCTAAGTGCTTATTTTTCAGTAGTTGTTACATAAAGTTGCACAAAACAGCGCATGTGAATACACTAGAAAATGGGAAGTACTCTTTTTTTTAAAGAATGATTTTACTTAACTTTATCTATTTTAATTTGATCAGAGAGGGAGGGAGGGAGAGAGAGAGAGAGTGAGCCACCAGGTCTGGGACTCGAACTATGGTCAGCCATGTGGGATACCAAGTGCTTTTAACCACCATGCCATCTACCGGCCCCCAAAATGGGAAGTACTCTTAAGCAGGTAAAGGAAATATCATTGTTACCATCATCGTTATTATTACTTCTGGTTTGGAAGGAAGTGTGTTCAGGAAGTGGATACCTGGAAGAGAAGTAAGCTTGTTTGGAGAGGAGGATGCGCGTGAACTAACAAGCAAACGTCCCGTCTCAGCTTTTTGCTGACAAGGTCAAACCATCTCAGGGTCACTGAGTATCCCAGGCCAAAGCTGAGTACCCTGCTCAAGCCTGAGATCCAGTCTCCATCCCTGTCCAATACAGCCTATCTGGAGCAGTGTTCAACATGCAATAGAAGCTTAATGAATACCACCTACTCTCATATTTGTATCATAGTACTCTTTAATTATGAAACGACGTGACCACATCTAAGAAAATTTGGAAAACATGATAAAGCAATGGGAAAACCACCCGTGACCTCTGTACCGTAGCAGACACAGTAGCATACTTCAATGCATCTCCGCTGTCTTTTTTCCTATACACATTTTCTTAGAGAGATTTTTTGCTATAGGGCCTGTGTCCTTGCCAGAGACAGAGAGACAGAAAGCGAGAAATCACCCCTCAGGGTACATGGCCGGGCCGCAATTCCTTCTCCTCCATTCTCCTCTCAGGATTTTGGGAACACACACACACATGCCCCTGGTGTGAGTTTTAAGCTGCCAGACCCGGGAACCAAACAAACCACGATTGACTATGTGGGAGTCCAGCGATGTAACCATTATGCCATCTGCTGGTCCCACTATACGCATGCTTTGAAAGTTTTTACTTTGATCACTGCCTTCTGCTCATTTCCTTTCTTAATATCGTAGCATGAGGATCTT